CTATTAAAGTTGATAACATGACAGAGAAGTAGTGATTTATCAGATTTATGTGAAACGTTTGGTCCTGTTCCACCAGGGGGCGATGCTGAGCCTGAAACATTAAAACACAACCTTCATTAAACAGACGAAGAAGAAAGAGGTAAACAAAGCGGACCTGGTTCTGGTTCATCATTCTGAGACTAAAACAGCAGCTGGGTTCGGTCATGAGTCAAACCACGGCACAAATGTCCAAAGCAGACCGGCTGCGGGGCTTCGTCACCGAGAGGCTGTCCGCCGCCTCCCGGGAGATCTTAGCGGTTGTAGAGACCGTGGTAGCCGCCTACGAGGAGGAGGCTTCCGGCTTCAAACTGCAGCTGAGCCGGCAGAGGAGACAGCTGGAGCTGCTTCAGCCTCAGGCTCCTGTCGGTAAATACTCTGCTAACTCAACATTTAATCAACAGTACAGACACTAAAAATTATTTTAATAAACAGTGATTATCGGCTGTCAAATAAAAAAATACATCATACAAAACCTCATTAAAAATACGCAAATTTTATTTTTACTCAACAAAATTTTAATTTACTTAAAGTTAAATACAAAATCAAGGATGTACTGTGAATAAACAKTATTTACTTATTAATTCAGCTGAAAGATAATCATTTTATTTATTAATCTTTATCTTTGATCATGTATGATAAGATGCTGTAATATGAAAGATAAAAAGCCTGACAGAAGTGAAGATTTACAGAAGTGGGACTTGTTTTCTGCAGGTTTACAGACCAGCAGGAACCAGGGGTCTGCTGAGGAAGAGGAGGGTGAAGATGAAGAGGCCCATGAGCATCTGAAGAGTCTGGGTTCATCTGGTCCACAAAGGTTCTTCACAACAGTTTGGTGTTTCCAGGAGGGGTGGGGCAGAGCGAGGGTTTTGTCTTATTTAGTTCCATTTATGTTAATAAGTTTATTTCCTAAACGGCCTCTGATCTTCACCTGTCAGCTCTTCAGAAGKTGTGTGTGGACCTGGAAGCAGGGAGCGTGGCAGAACTCACAACATAAAACTCAGCATCCGCTTCCTGAAGGATCCGAACATCAGCGTTCTCTCAAAAAACTGTAAGTTTTCTCTCTGACTGAAAGAGTTTAGAACTGTCCTGTGGTTCTGGTGGTTCTGGTTCTGCTGATGAAAACCTCTTCTGCTCTGTTCCTCTGCTCTCAGTGGTGAAGAAATGTCCCACGGTCACCCTGAAGTGTCCTCCAGGTCTGCAGGAGGACGACTTCCTGGACCTGCTGAGGTCTGCCGTCCCTCAGCTGGACGGAGACAAACCTTTGGAGTTGTTCTGCTCAGACCAGAGACGCAGACTTCAGCCTCTGAAACTGAAGAGTCTGACACCAGAGGAGATCCACAGGAACCTGAAACCCACCGGACCGGGCCAGTCTGCGCTCTACGTCCGGCTGCAGGTACTGTAGGTCCGCAGAAATCTGTTGGAGGCTGGTGGGTCTCAGGTCRCGGTTTTTAGATTTGATTTTTATTTTTCAGACAGGAAGTGAAGCTCGGGAGTGGGCGGAGCCTCTTCAGAATGAAAACAGCAGCTCGATGTGTGAAGAAGCGGGACAGAACAGGTCAGTACCTTTTAATCCCAAATTGTTGCCGGTGGGATTAAWTCAGAATTATAAACAGGGTTCCCACGGGTCCTTGAAATCTTTGAAAGTTTGTGAATTTGAAAAAATATTTCAAGGCCCTGGAAAGTTTGTGAAAACAGCCAAAAATTACGTTTGTCCTTGAAAGTTTTTGAATGTTTTTTTTGGGGGGATTGAAATTCTCTTATTTACATGACTGATTTTCATCATCTTTTTAAAAAAATAATAGGGGTGTAAGAAAATAACGATACACTGAAATATCGCGATATTTCACTTCCTGATACTGTATCGATATTCTAAAGCCCTGTATCGATTTTTTATTAAGGTTTAAAATGTCAACTTTCCTGCCAGCCGTTCATTTTTATGT